TCTCAATTCATCATGTCTTCATATCAATTGGTAATGTCATGGTGATTATGTCACTTTTAATGTTGTCTTCAGACTCACATTATAACCTTTGAAATGCTGACAACAATAAAAGTATGTTCTATATTCATCTGCCAATATTTCTTTTGAAATGCGTTAAATTGCTTATAAACTATGTAACTGCATCACAGCTTCATTTTTAAGTCCTAGCAACCTGCAAATGGCACATTGCACTTGTTATATGCATCTACTGCTTTCTAGTCCAAAGTCATATGTCCATTTGATTCAAAGATGATTTGAATTGACAGGAAAGGTTAGAGGGCACTTGCCAGTTTACCAGGGAGTTGTCACAGATATTTATGATATCTGTTATCCTCTTGAAAGGGATGAAAGTCTTGTTTTTTGGCTGCAGAGCTACACGGTAGCCCCCCCCCCCCTCAAAGTGTGTCATGAAATATTAAGTGCAGTCATCTGCTGACATAGGTGACTTAATTGTCACAGCCTAACACTTACCACATGTCTAAATAAAAGTAAGTGCTCCCCCCTTCCAATTAATCTTCAATTAGGGGTGCTGCTCTGTGCCTCTGCTTTTGTGTTTCCCAGTCTCAGCTCAGCAGGTGGGGTATGGGGGGGGTCTGTGTGTGTGTGATTGTGTGTACGGGGTTATATGAGGATTATCGGCCTCGGGGTGGACACAGGACAGGGATAAAAATTATGTTTTACGACACATATTGCCATGCCGACTGTCATGCTGTCCCAAGACAATCACTTCTTGCCACGATTACAACAACACTTTGATCACAGCCTATTTACAGCTTGAGCAGAAAGCATATTTTATTGACCCATAGAAATGAATCGTTCCATGTGAGATGCAGAGAGACATGAGAGGCCTCAAGCCAAGTGGTTTATCAGGGATTCTCATGACTCTGGAAGGCTTAATATAACTACCAGCTGAGGGGTGTACTTTCCCATGTAGTAAGAGGTCAGGAGGCTGCCCTCTGAGCACTGTGGCAGTTGTTTTTCACACAAGAATTCCAGCCCACTGATGGAGGATCTAAGAGAGCATAAAAGAGGAGCAGAGGACTGTACAGTATGCATCACTATAGCTCCTGGTGAACCCTCCGCCCACTGCCCTCCGCACCCGGTGGCTGTTCCCAATGGGCTGCTCTCCCTGCCCGTCTCCCCGTATCAACAGAACAAGCAGTGTCTCTGTGAGAGGCAGTCCCGACCCCCCTCCCCATCCCCCATGCCCTTGCAGCCCCACCGTCGTTGTGTTGCAAACCAGAAGCCTGAGGTGCAGGGAGCGTGTGGGATGAAGGGATGAGAGAGAAGATCAAAGCAGGAAGCATGAAACAGCTCAAAGCACACAAGCAAGAGGCACCTCTCTGACCTCCGCCACACACACACACACACACTCTTCTCTTCATCCTGGCAATGCAGAACATCGGCCTCTGGTTCCCCCTCATCCAGCAGCTGTGCAAAAAGGAAAAGAAGAGAGGGCACGTCGCTCAGGTCGTGTGAGCCTCTCAGCAGATGGTTGGGACCTGCTGGGAACCAGACCTGAACTGACGCACACACGATTGTGGCTGATCCCTCTTACTCATCAAACTTTGTCTTCCTATCATTCATTTTTACTTGAATGTTAGATTGAATGTTATTTAGCCTACCGCATTGTTTTTTATTGGCATTTTGAATGCACATTTTTGTTATTTAAATCTGATGCAACACTTTTTGGGGCTTCCCGGACAAGCCATCAGGAGATCTCCTAAAAATTATGAAATCATCGGTGGGGTTTGATTCAAAAAGTAAATAGATGATTTCTCAACTACAGACCTACATAAAAGACACTGCTGAAAGGCACTCATAGATCTCTACATTGAAGAAATGTATCCGGCAGAGGCTTACCCAGAATAGAGAGGTTATCTTGGAAGGGAAGACTTACACAATCTGAAAATAGGTGTTTAGATATTTTGTGCCCTTTTTATTTATTGTACTTTCTGACGCATGACTCCTCTGCCAGATTCTCACTGTGTCAGATTATTGGCTGCAGAGAGCATGCAGGAGCTGAAAGTTCATCAACATGATCAGCTGTGACCGCAGTTTTACCTGCCGGCATATAAAGCTGTACTAGGTTTATAACGAGCCCGGTCAGACTTGTGAACTCCCCCTTGGCCCTGAGGATCCTCTCTCCATTATTCATGAGTCCTCAGGTTGGACCCTGGGAACAAGCTGAGCGAGGCCCTGTGTCAATACGAAACACTGGCCGCCACAATGGGCTCTGCCTCCAACTACACTGTTGACAGACACCAACACAAAGGAGCTGAAAGGGGTCCCCCTCCGTTCTCACACACACTGAAGAATGAGTCAGTGTGCTGCCGCTCAGAGCTGTGTTTGTACAGTATATACAGCTTTTGTCCATAGCCACTGTTCTCCCATCAATAGGGGCTGAAGTGTTGATGAAAACCATGGAGGGAAGGACTTGTCTGTGGCTGCCAGTAAGAGTTCATGTTCATTAGATGGGCCCTGCGCCTGCTGGAGGGCACCTGTACGTACCCCTGGTGACAGAACAACAACTAATCGGCATCAACAACATTCCATGATATATCACAGCCCGGCCTCTTTGACTGTCACATCATCACTGCCTGTCATCAGGTTAATGAATAATAGATGCATTTGGACCATGAAATCAAATATTGCAGCCATGTGACAGTCCCTTTAAGGCCTTTCTATATGGCATGCATTGATTTCAGTTTCTCTGGTTTCATATTGACGGCTCATTTTGCATTATACATCAAGCATCTGCCGTGATAAAAGGATGCGTCCACCTCAAAGGGGATGTCATGTATGTTATACCCATGCTCTTGGACAGTTCAATTAATATTTATAAGAATTAGCATATCTCATCAACGGCTAGAAACAATAGCACTAAATGATGATGGCATGCTGAACCTGGAGCCATAGTAACTCATTTAGGAATGCAAGAAAACTTCTTCTTTTTAGAGTGAACAGGAAAAAAATGGGCTCTCAGGGGACATTTCACTGCACCCACTCACTGTCAGCAGCTCCATTATTACTATGCTTACTTATTATACAACCGAAAGAGCTTTGCTGTTTCTCTTTGAACTATTTCCGGCTTATCATAGAATAAAAAAAGGTTCTTACAGTTTTTAAACTCAGAGCAGAATTGCATGCTCGCAAAAGTCTCCTGTCCTGTGTGCCGACATCTCTACCTGCTGAACAGACAATGCACAGTTTGCAAAAGCAGTAAACAATCTAACCAATTCCTGGAAATCTTGAACAACCATTTCACAAGTTGCAGGCAGTGACAAATCAGTTCCAAGTGGTTTTATAAAGCACTTCTTTACTCCAAAACAATGTCTGACAGACCCAAATGTGAAGGTATTGTACGGTGGGAGGCAATCAAAGCAGAATCTATTTTAATCCACTGAAGAGATGTGTCACAGGGCACTCAACTGATCTGAATCAGATTTGCTCTGAGCATCTCGAATCTTTTCAATCTGTAAACTCTTTCAATTTGATCTCTTTGAGACATCAGCAGCACTCATTAACTCTTAGCACCTCAGCAGACAACCCAAATGAAGAAAAATGGGATTTACATGCTGTTTTTCTTTGTTTGATGAACAAACCTGTCTGTGTTTGCAGTCTGCATTTTGCATTGCACTGGCTTTAAGAGAGGAGTTAGATTAAATTAATAAAATAATCAATAAATGAAATATTACACAGCAGAGGAGTCTGTATTTGTTGACATCTTGTTTGTGTCTATACAAAGGATTTAAACTAAATAGCTACTCAAACAGCAGAAGGAGAAGATAAACTTGATACATTTTTGATTTTGTGTTTTTGGTTTCATGCAAATTTAGCTCACTTGCCCTTTTGGTATGTTAAGAATATTGGGTTGCATTTTTTTAAAAGGCCACATATAAGGTCTAATGGTATTACTGAAACCATTGGGAGGCAGTACATGAAGGTTTGACATTCAGAAACAAATCCACAGATATCTGATCGTTTTCTGCTACAGTGTTGTAACCTTACGTTTTGCAATTCTTGTTGAATGTCACGCAGTTGAGTTGTAAATGCATTGTACGTCCTCTAATGAAGTCTGAAAATACACATGAGGAATGAACATAGATACAATGACAAAAGATTAACTTTTTTGGAGATCCATTCCAACACTAACATATTTTACAAAGTGTGTTAGAAAAGATCAGTTATGAACAGAACTATTTTTATTTGCTTTTCACAGGCGCCATCTACTGGTCGGAACCAGTATTACTATTCAGACGGAGAGGGAGTGGTGCTGTTCACTGTTTGGTGGCACAATAAGAATCAGGATCAGCTTTAATGGTCAAATGTGAACACAATCAAGTATTTTGTTGCTCTTAAAATACAGTACAAAAATACAAAAAAAAAGTGGACTCACAAGGTGAAATTTTAGACGATTTGTTTAGAATAAAAATGTGTATTCTGTTGCAATTGTGAGGGAAGACGCTACAACAACATACTATGTATGTCACATTAAATCTGTGTTGTAATTTAAATCTCTTACTCTTAATAGGTAGAGTTCACATACCTAAAGTTAGCTATTGTTTTCGTATTATAAATGGATTTTTGCATTTTTCTGTAATGTATTTATATTATTATTTTTTCTCGATTTGAGTAATTAATACAATTTAAATTTTCCATTGTTTATTTAATTCTTATTTTTGCTGTCACTGTTCATATAAATTCGTCTGCATCTTTCCTTCAGCAGGGGCGACACGCAACAACAAATCCACTTTCTCACCTCTTCAGTTAATGCTGAAGTCAGCACACTCCGGCTAAACTCACATTTTTCACTCCTATCAAACGCATCATGAAAATCAGATTTAAAAGACACGCCCCCTAATCCGCTCGTTCCCCAGCGCACGAGCTTGATTGGTCTGCCCTGAATCAAGCACGTGTTTAACCAGGCATTAAATATGCAATTTGGCCTGAACGTCAGTCTCTCTCTGCGCTTTACCGGTGGAACCAGAGGCCCTGCATTATCTCGTGTTTCTGTAGCAGACTGATATTACGCTTCTTCGACATCATGGTTGATCAGTTTGTTGGGACCTGGACTCTAACTGCCAGCGAGAACTTTGATGAATACATGAAAGCGATCGGTAGGTATCCTATGCACTTTGTTTAATTGTGAAATGAGGATGATGTGAAGCGTTTAAAGTCGAAAGGCAAAGATTGGAGACTCTGCAACATGTTAAGATATCTTCCAAGCAGATCACTTTAATTCATAGCATCATCAGCACATGCACGAGACATCTAACAGCATCTTGCTTAACCCTCCGTTGTGCTGAAGGCGTGGGCTTCGCCACCCGGCAAATGGGCAACCTGGCGAAGCCCAACCTGGTGATCACCGTGGACGATGCTGGGCTCATTTCAATGAAGGCTGAAACCACGTTCAAGACCACAGAGATCAAATTCAAGCTGAGCGAAGAATTCGACGAGACGACAGCCGACGGCCGAACGACCAAGGTGGGTTCATATTTTTGTGTCGGCCTCATTTGATTTTATGCACTCTTAAATTATCGCTTCTGACAGCCACACTTTTTTTTTTTTTTTTTTTTTTTTTTTTTTCGCAGACCATCATCACTCTTGAGAATGGCAAACTTGTGCAACAACAGACATGGGATGGAAAGAAAACGACACTAGAACGAGAGCTTCAAGATGGAAAAATGACAGCTGTGAGTAATTAATTGATTGAGCAACAATGCTTTTATGTAGTTTGGATGGTGTTTTCCTAACGTTAAGATGTTTGCATATTTCTTTTTTTTAAAAAAAAGAAGTGTATCCTTGGTTTATAATGTAAGATTTCTAATATTGAAACATTCTCAACAGAAATGTGTCATGGATGACGTGGTTGCAGTGAGGACCTATGCGAAAGAAGCTTAATTAACAAGTTGTTTAGACTGGCCCAATGTTTAATTACCAGACCCCGAATGCACCAAGCTATTGCCAATAAAGTCTGAACTGTGACACTTCAATCTGTGGAAGAGTTGTGCATTATTAGATCAGCAAAATGTTGTGTTTTTAGTTTGTCCTCTTTAATTGACCACATGGTCTTTATGAGAGATTAATTGCTAGCACATCTTTACTGGGGGGGGCCTGATGTCACGCTTTCCTGAAACTACTCTAATTGCCTTATAGCTAATCAACTGAGGTCCTGAATGTACTAGAACATTTTGTCTCAAATAAGACTGACTTTAATTTTCAAATGATACTCATGTGCTAATTTTTCTTAATGTAAATTGAGCCCCAATGCATGTTATGTCATAGGCATGTTGGGGTTGGTATTTCACGTTCAGATACAAAGGCCAGCTAACAAAAGGGAGGAAAAAAACCCTTAAGTCAGTCTTATAATCTTTAAAGCTTTTAGACATGGGGTGGGGGCTTAACAGAGGCTTTTTGTTCAAACAATGAAAAGCGACCTGTCTCATCAGAGCAGTCCTCATGACAAGGATGTTGACTGGGGAGGTGGGAAGGCCAAATCCCTGCTTGGGGTTGGAGTATAGTGACCTCTACTTTGAGCCAGGCCCCTCTTGTCTGGGATGCACAGATGTGGAGTTCAAGCAAGTGCACATAATTTGTGTTAATTAGGGTTCTTTGGGGCAGTAGGTTGAGGCCCAAATTCTCTAAAAGATTTCCAGGCTTTGGTAAACGATTGTGACCCCGGGTTGTGCTCGGGCAACAATGAGCGCCAACTAATGAAAAGCGCTCACAAACATTGTTAAAGTGCGGTTTGCACAAGTCTTTGGAACACAATCTATGAATGTTTGGATATATAAAACTTTTTTTTTTTTTTACTCTAAACTGAAATGGTTTTGTAGAAATTCACATGCTTGAGAGAATTTGCGGAAGACGTTCACTCCTCCCGAACTGGCTTACTCTTTAGATTTCTGAATACCCTATTGTTAGGATTAAGCTTACGCTGTAGTGTGGGTGAAGGCTTTAAGAAGCAGACCTCCTTTTAAATTAGTTTACCCCTTTAAACAATCTCAGCATGAGTTGTTTGACTTGGCTGCTTTGTTAAATGGCCCAGTGGCTATGCATTGAATAGATTTAAGGCAATGACACTGAATCTGTTTGTTAGAATTAATCATTTAATTTTACACATGAAAATAAATTGCCTAAAGTGGTCTCAAACTGCTTCAGTCTAACATACTCGCATGTGAAGCTGCAACCAGCAAATGTCTACATTAATAAGGTACTAAAATTGTTTTAAGAACAAGGCTGAAACGGTTTCCTGCATTACTTAATTTGAATTATTACATGTGTGTTTGAAGACAGCAAACGTCATTTTACGGCTGCATCCATCCCACAGAAAGGCTGACTCCTTGCGGTTGTGTCTTGGAATAACAGGTACCGATTGGACAGTACCATTATATTCTAACTGGGGGGAAGGGGGTCGCCTTTTGACGTGAAATGGACAATACAGGACAATAATTAAATATGTAGGAATATTACATTTATTTTAAATGAATATACTTCCTAACAATGAGATTTTCTTGATCATAACGTTGACTTTCCAGTTGTCTTCGTCCAGATGCAATGACCGAAATGACGTCGTGCATGACGCGACGCCATCATCAAACATGGCTGACGAAGAAAACACAAACATGGAAAAGAATAAACCTTTTGCAAACTCTGTAAAGCCACTGGTTGACGGGGTTACGCAAAGAATAGGCCACCAGAACAATGTCGAAGGCAAAAAAGACGCCGGTGAGAGCCGCTCCACTACGGAATACTGCGAGAAGCTGCAGGGGTGGATGTGGCAGTACTACACTGGATATGTCAACTGGCAAAGCTGGATGGCGGCGTCAGCCATGTCCTACCCGTATTATTTACAGTCAGACAGTGGGACGACAACGCTTGACATTCACTCCCAGAACTGGTATAACGGCCCCTTTGGGCTTCCGTTGTCGCCTTATCAAGCTGCGGTCACCTCCCGGTCGGGTGAAGCCGCAGGCGGGGCTGCAGTGGTCGCTCAGCAGCCGCAGGAGAATGGAAATGCACAGAGACCAGGTAAAAGCTGCTGGCTGTGCGTTGACCGACAGCTCTCCAGGTTGTCAAAAATGTGATGTTGCAGACAACCAAAGATACAATGCTACAAAGACTCCAGAGTCATCTTATTCTTAACATATAGTTGTATAATGTAGATGGAGGTCTGTGCCGTCACGTGTACAGGTGGACTCCAACTTCCGGTCTGCATTTATTATGTAGGCTACAGGTTACAATATGCACCCTGGTGTGTAAACATATGAGTTACAGGTACATATATTTGTACCATAAACCATACCAATCAACGTGAGAATAAGCATACAAAATGATGCTTTGGATTTGATCACATTATTGACCTGGCAGCACATATGAGAATAGGAAGGTTTTGCAATGGCATGTTTAACAATTACACACAGGTGTAATTTTGGGGTGTTTGGCAATATAGGTTTACCTGCTTGGCTGCTTTTCTCCTCTCCAGGCCGAGAGTATAGCATTCCTTCCCCTCTCCAAAGACTCCTGGCTGAGATGGTGGATTTCTTCATACTGTTTTTCATCAAAGCAACCATAATCATCAGTATTATGCATCTGAGTGGAATCAAGTGAGTTTCCTTCATTTCCTTAGTGGTGGTCTGTAACTGTAATTGAATAAAAAAAAACTCTCTTGATTGATACTTCACGGTGCTTTTCAGGGATGTTTCCAAGTTCGCCATGCATTTCATAGTGGAAGAAATAGATGAGGACACGTCAATGGAGGAGCTACAGAAAATGATGCTTGTTGCACTTGTGTACCGGGTATTGGTGTGTATTTATGAGGTGAGCACCCATATAAAGGTTTCCCCACATATTAATACAGGTAAGGTGAGACAACAAACAGTGGTCTCAACCTTAACTGTCAACTGTTTCTTTGTAAATTTTGGAAAGGCCCCCATTGCAGTTAAGTGACAGCTCCTACACCATTCTCCCTTCAGATTGTGTGCATTTGGGGAGCAGGAGGAGCCACTCCAGGGAAGTTTCTCGTTGGACTCAGAGTCGTTACGTGTGACTCATCGGTTCTGGTTCAACCTAACAGGGTGCTTGTTGTGCCAGCAACTAACGTCTCTCTGTCTGCGTGAGTAGATCATTTTCGGAAGTGTCTTAACGAGCGTGACCCAGTATCTCTCTCCTGTGTGTATTGTAACCACAGTCTCTGTTCTCCCTTTTATAGATCAACTGTCCGGGCCTTGAACAAGAACTTTTCAATCGCCTTCTTTTTCCCGGCCTTCATCACCCTTCTGTTCTTCCAGCACAACAGGACTGTGTATGATATGGTAGCTGGTACAATTGTTGTCAAGCGCTCCAGGATCAGATGACGCAGAAGAACCCAGATGAGAGTACTACTACAACAATACTAAGGAAGCACTGTGTGTGTCCGTGTGTGTTTTTTCTTTTCTTTTTTAAATGCCTGCAGAACTCAGACGTCAGCCTTTCGAGGTATCGTCCGAACACGGAGGAGCGTCGAGACGGTTGCAGACAGTTTGATACACATCAGTATGAACAATTTCAGTTCCCTACAACCTGGGTTGGGTTTGTTTCTGACACATACTGTATTTCTGCATGTATTCCTACATGCTACTTTCACAAACTGTTTCTGTGCCAAACTCATGCCTCCTTTGAAGACAGGAATGACGATGGTGTACGCCACCATTTCATTAACACAACATTTGCCTCTTTTTAAACACTAAACTTCCAGATTAAGGATAAAGTCCCGTATCACTCCGTATTGAAGTTGCTGATCATGTATTTATAAGAGTATACCTTCAGTATCTCTTTGTATTAAAATATTGTCTTAAGAATTGTACACTCAGACTTTTTTAAAATTTTGAGTTGTTGACCGTCATCACTGCAGGAGTGATGCCTCGTGAACAGCTGTTTCAGATGCTGGAATGCAAATGTATCAAAAGGAAATGTTAACCCGATCGCACCTGATCTTCCTTTTACTCGGACAGCATGTGTGTGACTTAAAAGTTAATATATGACACATTTTATGTGATTAACTTTTTTTTTTTTGCATTTAAGAAGATTAAATGAAACCACCACTATTGCGCTGCATGTTTGAGGTGTCCGTCTTTTAGCGGTTTGTCTGCTATTTGATAATTCTTCCAATGTTTTTGATACGAATTAAGTGGCTTCATGTTTAACTTTGGCTCCATTGACTCATGTGATTGGTGCAAATATCAGTTTATGTTAGGACTGCGGTTTTACTTTGTATGTCAGCACTTTATTAGGAAAAAAAATTCTTATGCCATAAAAAGTGTGCTAGTCAGAGAGACACAGATGGGTGGATAAATGAAGACACTTGATATGTGCAGAATCTTCCATACGGGGTGTGAAGGGTCGCTGAATAGTTCGATGAATCTCACTAAATCTCAATCATAAACCTTTGGGAGATTTTGGACTGACTTTTTGAGAACAATGCTGAAAACACCAAAGAAGCAAATACATTTTTTGAAAGGTCTCCACCAGAGTTATTGTATAATTCATTTAAAGGTGCATTGAAGCTGCTCTGGAAGCGTGTGGCGCCAACCGCTTAAGAGACTATATGATGGATCTTCATTTACTTTACCACCCGTTATGTTTTCCACAGTAAGTTTGTCCAAAACTCTACTTCCTCAGTAAAATCTTGTGAATATATTCCACTCCAATTTCTTTAAGAACGTCTAATATGTATGTTTTTTTTTTTTTAGTTAAATATATCCTCAAAAATAACCTTGTAACATAGTCATTGCAATCCATAAATACAGCATTTTTTAATTGATCATTTGCTCTGTTGTGAGAAGCTGAAATTGAATCATCACTTTCGTCTTAGTCACAGGAGTTTGGCTCCACCCAGTGTACGTTTGATGGTCATACAGACCACTCTGTTTGATACATCATGCTGAATAAGCCCACAGCACTGTGAACTGCATACAATATTTAAAACAAAAAAATCTGTCTTTGTGTGATCCTAAATTATCATCACACAAAGTAGATTACAGTCAACCGGTTGCCCATAAAACGAGTGATTCTATACTTCATTGAGGGACGGCCTGAATCAACTCAAGACATTTCTCTTTTCTGGCACGTCACCTATACTTGGAGAGGACTGTTGAAGCTCCAACTGTTGGCAAAGTGTTGACGTGGTGATTGTGTTAGGCCCACTAAGTGGCAGCTTCAGCTGACAGCCACAGATGGTACTCCCAGATTACAGAGCGCCCCCCCCCCCCCCACACACACACACACACTCACATTCTGCTGTCATGCACCATGCCATTACTGCAGGCGACGGAATAATATAACTTGTATTGTAAAGGGCTTTACCGAGGAACAGAAGAGTGTGAGCAGACACTACCCAGCACCATTACTGCACTGATGAGTGAGGAGTTGAAGCATGTTTATAATCTATTTTTGTGTCGACGTGATCTGGCTCGTGTCCAAAGGGAATGTGCAGGAAGAAGATTTTAGAAAAGCTCAAGGGAACAATTATCACTACAATTTATGACAGACCTTTGTGTGAAACTACCTAATGTTGCAATAGACCTCACAATCCTTGTAGTGAGTTAACAAACAGCATTCAGTTATTATTAAAACACTATAATCATTTATTTAAATCACAGTAAGATCATCCTTGTGTGGCTCTAATGATGGCAGTACTGACAATTGATTCCCTCTATTGCCATCGACTGTAAGAATGAATGTGAGGTCCATTAATCAAATGGTTTACGCCCTAGACTAAGGAGGTGAACTCAGACATAAATGAGTGAGAAGAGGTGAGTGTATTCAACTCTAAAACACTCTCTTTAATTCCCCATATTCTGTCATATTCTCATATTTTCGTTGTCTGTTGTTTGAAGCCATGCTTGTGTTGAGGAGGAATGCAAGGCCGCACGTCTCCCGCTGCTGCTATCTTTCGTCAGCAGAGTCGTACCAAAAATCAGCTGGATCCGGTTCATAATCAAAAAAAGTATGAATTACACTATCGATAGAAATATGTTTCATGAAGCAGAGCTCAAATGAATTCCTCCACACAGTCCAGCCAAGCTAGTTAGCTGTCCAGAGGTCCCAAGTGATCTAATTCTTCTTCTGTGAAACAATGTCCCTTGTTTGTCCAAAAGTTTCAAATGTCCAGTACCAGCTCAGTGATAGGTTGAAATCCAATAGTCTCCTCCTGGCTTCAGACACGATAGTCCGTCCCCCTCACTGACCACTTCCTGTTGACGGTGTCTCTGCATGCTCAGCTTATCACCTCATATGATCATCTTCTGAAAAGCCTCACTCAAATCCCTCTCTGTCCCTTATGGCTCAAAACATTCAGTGACTATTCTTTTTAGTTTAATACATTCAATGATTATGCTTTTATAGTTCAACACTTCTATAAGTAAATATATTGTAAACATATAATACACTCCATCAGTAAATATATTGTGACATTTAATATATTGTGACATTTAATATCCACCACTAGGGGTGCCATTAATCACACTGAGAATGCTTCTAAACTTTAATTCCTCACACTTGACAGCTCTAGTCCCTTGCTGCCACATGGCGTGCCATATGGCATTGAGTTGGTGAGGTGTCCAGCCTGAGTTCCTGGCTGCCACCCTTTCTGGCTCTTTTAACAAGGGAGTCATCTACAGGCAGCGTGAAGGGCTCACAGCTTTCTCTGACAGCCATGTGTCTGTGTGTGAACAGGGCCATGTAGGGCAGAGGGGTAAGGAAAACAGTCTGGGCTCCAGTGGACCAAAATATTCTCAGTGAATGATACAGGGTGCTGTCCTTAAAGTCATTATTCATCATTATAAGTACTAAAATGGCAGCTGACACACAGACACACGTACACACAGCAGGCTCCAGGTTTTTATTGCAGTCGTGGAAAGGTGCTGTGAACTGTGAGCTGCACAGTGTTGTTGTTGCTTCCAGTGTGTCGGTGCCTGATGGTATTCCTCTCAAGTGGAGTCAGTAATTACAGGCTGTCTGGGTTCTGCCTGAGTGGAGAGGGATGTTGATGAAGAGGAGACCTGTTGACTGGGGAGGGATGCGAACGCCTGCTCCAACGCTAGAGATGCCACGGGGGACAAACATGTAGAAATGGGCACATTTGTACACATTTTAAATTTGTGTTATGCTTATGCAGACTTTTGGGACTAAATGCCATTTACATGCATTGATGATGTTGTTTGATAGTTTTTATTTATAAGGGACTGTACTAGTATTGTGTAAAAGGGTTGTGTGTTTTTTATTTTTGCTGAGGAAAGTATTCAGATTTCTTTTGGAATCCAGATTTAGATTTTCTTCACTTGAGCGGCGGCCTGTACCAGGTTCAGTATAAGTCACTTTAGAGTAGACGGTGGTAATAACTGTTGGGATGCACTGTTCTCTGTTTGCCATATATTCTAATGTGAAATGTGATGAATGTTGTGAAAAGTGTTGTCCCATTCACATATTAGAGTTAGAAATAGGACACTGGTTACAATGTTCACAATGTTATGTTATTTTTAGATAATAGGGAGGAGTGTGTTGTAGTTCTAAATCAAGGGGAAAAGTTTCACAAAGCTGGGGAGGGCCTCGCTTTTTGAAAAAAGTCCTCACCCTAATTACATTCATGCAGTCCCTAAGCCAATTTGTAGGCATCACATCTGCACTGTACTATTCGGGATGTACTCCCATTTACATTGCCGATAAATTATGAATGAACTCATTTCTAGGAAAGTGAATTAATAAGATTGAGTGCGATACAAATACACTTTTTTTCCAGAGTAGTATACGCTGCCTGTGCTGGAGTTCATTTTGTCCGGTATAAAAATAGATGTGAATATGAGGTGAGTACAAATTCAAGATGAGTGATGCAGAAGTAAAAAGAGAGACTGTGAGTGTGTATGCATGATGAGGGTATAGCATTCATACCACTTTCTATGACATAACATTAGGTTTCTGGGTGTTTGTGTTTTTGAATCAGTAGATTTCTGCAGAAGGAGAAGAAGAGCTTGAGTTGTCAAGACAACCATGGAGGCTGCATTGGTTACTGCAGAGACGTTCAGCTTTTTCTCTCCTCCTCAACAAATGTTGCTTTTAAGGTAGTACAGTATCTGATGTGCATTTGATGCATTGATATGTTTGAAGAGAGACTGAGGGGTAGAAATTGGCCTAAAAGATGTTTTCCCTCTGGTATCATCTTGAAAGCTGTTTGGCAAATTCTTGACAGTCTTCGTCATGTCAAGAGAGACTGTGCCGTAGTTCCACTACTTCACAAATGATTTGGACTAAATCATTTGCTGCATGCAATTGCCAACTGCATTATTTACAATACAATCAACACAACACTCTCAAGACCTTTAAATAAGACTGGGAAACAGGCAGCAAAGGAATAAAAGCCATCCCAACATTTTGCCTGATGTAGCAATATATATACAGTATATGTTTTTTATCATCAATGCTTTAGTCATTCAGACTGTACTTTCCCACAAAGTCAAAATACAGCAGCCAATGTATTTTGGACTTTTAGTTATATGTATTATGGTATAGAATAGAAATTCTTGGGGGGAAATAAATCTAATTAGCAAGAGCTAGAAAACAGAGATAAAAACCAAAATGCAGTGACCGTTCTCCAGTTATATGAGGCTAGCTGGTGAAATAATCCAAACTAAAGCCAATTTACCTGCTTTTTCCTCTAAGTTTTTTGAGGCTATGACATCATAGTATCTAAGTTTGTTATATAGATAAGGCAGTAATTAAATGTAAAAAAGTATCAGCAGATAAACTAGTCCTGGTAAACGCTATCTTGACTAGCTTAGCTTAGCAGAGTAGTATTTCTTTTTGTACATAGTGTTTTCGTGGTGCCTTTTAGATTGTCCAATCGAGAGTGCAGTATCTAAATCTTTTTTTTCTTTTGATTTAATGTAAAGTCTGTGACAATGATTAATAATCAACCTAAATGGCATAAGATTAAGGTTTTACAACATATATAGCCCATTTGTCACACAGTTGGCTTTAAACTCCACACTCTGTTTTTCTCAACTTCACAGTTTCTTGTTGCTCTCCGCCTTTGTAATGCAAAGCCTACTGTTGGCAGGTACTGTTGGCCACACTGATATGATTATGTGGCTCTCTGGCAGTGCTTGTTTTTCATACATATAAATATAAATGAAATACAATTGAGGCAACAAGACATTTGCTTTCCTTTAAATGTGATATTTTGAGATATATTATCTATCTTCAAAATAAAATACTGACGTTTACAGGTATATGGTGTTGTATACGAAGGCGATGTTTAATTGAATATTGAAATAAGACACATAATCCAAGCTGGGAGAACTAGTGTTGATGTTCTCTACTTAATTGTTATAAATGAGTGGGCTATATCGTTTATTTTATTGTCTCAACTGAAGGTAAGGCTGAAGGCTGCTGTGTGAACCTGGTATTGAACCTGCACACTGCACGAGGCTTTCTCTGAGGTCACTGAGGTCATTTCAGTGGCTTTTGGGTTCCTAAAATGAATATCCAAATCAGGAAATAATGAAAGAAACAGCATGGACTCATGTTGATTATTTTTAACTTGTACTTTATATTGACATACATGTTATAACATGCAATGGATATTATCATTAACAGAGTTCTCTTGATTCATTTCTTTTTCCGTTAAACTACCCAACAAATACACGATGGAGATATTTGGGAAAACTTAAAATCAGCTAAAACTTTTCACAGTTTTGTCACACCATTTGGTGTTTTTCTGATTGATATGGTTCATAGTTTGAACAAACTCTACTGACTTCCTCCTCCACAAATCATTCCCACCCAATTCTTTAGTTGCCTAAACTATGTTCTGGGGATGTGCGTAAGCGACTTGCTATTTTCAGCTGAATGAAAAGAGTCTTGGACTCAGGAAGAAATCTGTTTTGATCTGCTGAATTTGGCGGTCACCACATGCACAGTATGGTGCAACAGAGTTAAATAGCTCAGTTTAATAATCTCCTACAGTAAAACCACAATCTACTGAGAAGCATGATGTTCTATTTGCTGTCTCGTGTCGCTGGATCAATATGTTATCCTCAGTAACATCAATACCACATGTACCACTATGAGAAAAATGTCTGTTTTTGGTTTATGTTTGTGAGATGTCTGTGGTATTATTAGCCTGATAGTAATCATTTTTGATGTTACAGGTTGAACACTTCCTAAACTATGCCCTGCCTCAACTATGAATCACATTGCACTTGTTTTGAAAAAGGAAAACATTAAAAAAACTAATCTTCAAACTTGGCACTTCTGATGGTTATTTAGTAGTTAGAAATAGATTACATCACAGCTCATTTTTCATATTTGTGTAGATAACCATTTCCTGCATGACCTTATAATAACCTGAAAATACACTGGACACTATCTCTTTGTTATTATTTCGCACCTAAAGTGTACAATGAAGCTGAGTAGATGTCTCACATCTAGCATGCACCCAAACAGAGAGGTGAGGTCAGTATCACCTGCCTGTTGGATTTGCTGTCCCCCTTTGCTCTTTTCATTAACTGCTGAATTCACTGGCTTTCAATAGGCCCTTTCAACGTGTCATGCTACACCACCATTGAGCTACAGCCACGTCGCCACCCATCTTTCTTAATGGGGACTGGAGAGACTGTGGAGCTGCCTTGTTGCCATGGCAGCAAGTGCTTTCACATTCTCCCCACATCGCGTGGAGTGTGCACGCTGTTCCCTCCAAACTGGAGCGCGCCACAGCAGAGGCAGGTCTGCTCTCAGACAGAACCGAGCCAGGTTTATTTACCTCCCGCTCTGATACCAGATGCCCTCCTAATCCAACCACCTACACTCCACTTTCCATTCTCTTTATTACTAATGGCTGGTATTTTCCCACTGGCTGCTGTCACATACTGAACTTTGCTGGAAAACTGTATAACATGTCTTCAGGCTTTGTTGTTATTACTGTGGGTATCAATGTCAATTATTTCTAAGGTAAACCTATACCTGGGGTGACTGGATTAGTGGGATTAACTTTTTTCAGATGGAGAAGAAAGCCGGAGTGAGAAAGACAACAATCAGAAATTAGAGTTAGAATTGCAACAGGTAACGTTAGATCGCCGATGAATTAAGCAGCGTTGCCGTCAGTTTAAAGAAGTGAGTACGTCATCCACCACCGTATTAAATTATAAAGCCATCACCGAATACAAGAGCAAGTACATGCACCCGTTTTTTAATTGTTTGCATGCAAGCGTGTCTGTGTGTGTTCATGTAAGTGCGTGTGCATGAGCGTGTTTTTGTGGCTTTCAGACTTTCGGCGCAAGTTTGTGTAGCTCTCCTCCTCCGAACCATATATGTGCAGTGTTTTTGCCAATTGCTTTGAACATATGTTCTTGAAACATGCTGATTAAGTTCATTAATGCAAACAGTGGCACACAATCAGCCTTCCATTTCCCATATGTGACTGAGTGCATCATACATGCTTCCCTTTCTGTGCGCATGAGGATTAGTGTTGCATGTCTGGACATGTCTGCTGCTTTAGCGGAGGGCTCACTCGGCTCCCGTGAGTTCATGGTGAATATGCAGAGCAGAATGTGGGTAATGATGCTCGGATAATTGTTTGCCGGACACTGAACAGTTTCAAGGTAATGTGATCTATTCAGATTTGTGAGGAGCTTGCGGTTGAAAAAGTTCACCCCGGAACTGTGTGTTGCTTCGCAGTAAAGGTCATGCAGTGTTTTCATAGTGCGTTCCGCTGAAGGCTACTGTTTATGAGTAAGAGAGAGCTTAGAGACATCTATGTGTTTGAAGAATGAAGCAATGGAGGCTTAAGCATAACAATGAATGTTGATTTGCTGAGATTGTGAGTAGTGCTGCTGCTGCTGCAAATACTAACCCCCATTTATACTCTTCAGGATCATCAGCTTTCAGTAGTTTATGTTTGTAAGATGACGTAGATCTTATTGTGGTTTGGAGCACCCCCTCTCATTATGTGTGCACCATACTCAAGAATGTAACACTGAGTTGTGTGGGCTCAGAGTAAGAGTCTTGTCATGCTGGACCACAGTAATCAGCATCTAATAATGTTCAGTGGTATCTGAAAAACTGTCAACAAAGATTAAATATGCCTGATCTGTGTTGGAGACTTTCAGGTAACGCTTAAGATTGCAGCCCACAGTGCTCACGATAATTCTCCCCAATTTACAGTTGAATGTTTTTGGGCTGACGGTGTACCGGTACAGTACGTACTGATGCGTGCATGTAGGTACAAGCGAACAAATTGTGAAATAAGGGAATAAGGGGGACGTTCCCACTAAGTGTATTGTCAGGAACATGCTGTGGTAAACTGTTACTTTTGTTATATTGTAGGCCTACTCATGAGTTACAACATTGTACTTACAGGGGACTGAAGCGGCTTGAGGTGGTTCGGGTTCATGTGGATTGACTCTGCTGTTCATTGCTGGGAGTACAGTAATGATGAGGTTTCTCAGTAAATACAGCTCAACCAGAAAATTGGGAGTGTCCATCTAACAGCCAAGGCAGGTGTAGCAGATGATCGATTTTATGCCCCGTGTTACTGTTATGATCAGAGGATCACAGTGTGACAGTGAAAGGACACAAACACTACAGTCACAATGAGCTGTGGGTCATTTCGTAACTTTCAAATTCAGTCACGCAGTGAACAGTTTTGCTTCATGCAACTCCAGCTGAATTTGTGAATTCTCTCAAAGCTTATTTCAGCTCACTTGGCTGACATTAATTCTGACCTTCATTGTATAGTAAGAGAATTTAAGGCAAGGAAACCGCAATCTCTTGCTGACACCCTCTGGGATTGTGTTTACATTGACCTGGCAGCTTCTTTTAGTCACAGTTGTAAGACGAGGGTATAGCCCCTTGATGAGGAAGACATGCAGCATGTTATTTTTTCTCAGATTTAACAGCTGAGGAAACTCGAGTGGTTCAGTGTGTGTGTGAGAGAGAGAGAGACACCGCAGCACTGGGCCAGGTGGGTTGCGGGATAAAGAAATTCTCCAAATTATACTTTGATGAGTTGGTTTGATTGTTTATAATTCAAGGGGTAATTTCGAGATGCAATTTAGTCACTACTGCACATAATTCCCTTCGGCTATGCACAGTACACCTCTTATTGGATGCGCCCGTGAGAAAGCCAAGAGCCTATGTGGGTGCAATACTATTCACTAGGCTTGTTGTTGTAGTAGCAGCATTGTGTGGCTTTTGCATTTTTTTTCGGTGTTTCCTCCAGTCTGCAGTCTAGGTGGAGGGGACACCCTGCTTGTCCCACCTGCAGAAGAGCAGATAGCGGGCTGGCCTGGGGGGGGTGAGGCCACTGCAGCTTGGCTCTTTCTGCTGTGTGCTGTACAGGATAAGGAGGAGGCCTTCGTGAGGCGAGGGCCCCAGTGCCAAGAGGCTGTGGCGGGGTGTTTGTCAGCGCTGCCTGCCTGCACTGAGGGAAATATCTCTGGGTAAGAGATGGTAAGGTAGAGAGCTGGGGAGACCTGAGGAGACCTGGGAAGGGGATGGCGGGTTACTCTCACTCCCTTTGCAGCTGAACAGAGGTTGAGACTCTTAATTGTACAGCAGCTCACAGGGCAGATTAGGAAGAGATTTGTCTCTGCGGGGAAAATGCATATGAAAATGAACAAGAAGGAAGCACAGTGCATTATAACAGCTTTGACGTGCTAACACACTGAACAATGTAATCCTCTTTACGGCTTGTGTGCATGCATATGTGTTATGTCTCTGCATTTATATGTCAGTGTGAATATCCCACAGTTATTCACATTCATGCAGTATGTCCGTCTGAGCAAACGCTTTCTGAATCTCCAGCTCTCTCTCTCTCTCTCTCTCTCTCTCTCTCTCTCTCTCTCTCTCTCCCTCCCTCCCTCACCCTCTGTCTGTTGTTCCCTCCCCCTCCTTCCCTCTCTGTGTGAGCGTAGACTGGGCGCTAAGCCAAGTAGAGTGTGTTTTTTTGAATGAATACCTGATGCGGCTGATGAGGCTGGCTGGGGGAGGAGCTGTGTCAGTGGAGTACTGAGAGAGAGAGAGAGAGAGAGAGAGAGAGAAAGAAAGAAAGAGGAGGGAGGGAGGTAGAGAGGGAAAGGGAGAGAGGCAGAGAGAGAGAGAGAGAGAGAGAGAGAAGCAGCCAAGCAGAGAGGGAGCTGGCGGTCTGGTGGCCTTGCATAACACACGTTGGAGCAGCCTTGAACGCAGGACTTGGTGTTAGCTTCAGCAGTGGGGAACTTCCTTTCCCGTCAGCTCGTTGCAGGCGCAGCACAGCCTCCAACCCGGAGAGTCGAGAGAGGAAGGCATAGCTGGAGCAGCTACAGCACAGGCTCCAGGAGGGGAGAGCGGCACAAAGGAGAGATTCAGGAAGAGGACTCCTAGGAAACACGTCTCACACACAGACAGACAGACGCACACACATACACACACACTGAGAGGCAGGAAGAATCACTGGACATGCTCTGCAAGCAGTGGCTGTGGAGAAACTGGTGAGCTATTCTTAGTACTCTAACCAGAGGAGGGGAGGAGGGATGGGGGGGGGGGTTGTCTTTTCCTCTTGATTTGCATAGTATTTTCTGCCCTACTACTACACTCATGCGCTCTAACTGTCATTGTAAAGCCCCCAGAGGCTACAGTCACAGCATTTGTCACAGTTGTGGGATTCATCAGCATTGACCCTGTTTGGTTGTAGTTGTGCCCGCTCTGCTCGTATACTGTGTGAGATTGGTGTGTGTCGGGCAGTGATGCAGAACTCTGGAGTCATTGTGAAGACAAACAGCCTGAACCCACTGCCTGTTCTTACTGTCTGCTTTAGTCTGCCACACGGTTGGTCCGCCTCTTAAAGGCACATGCACCACTGTTGTCCAAAGAAGGGCAGTAAAATGGCTCTTTTGGGTTTTAGAAAAAGCTGTACACTGTATTGATCGGCTCTGTGGTTAGAGCAGCTATGTTTGTAAGGGGGTTGAGGGGAGGTCCTACTTATATGCAGCAAATCACACATACATGCACGCACATATTGTCTTCCTCAGTACCTCCCCCTCTGTTTCAAGCCAGAGCTCAGATTGATAATGATGTTTTTGTTTTCTATATATAGACGTTTGCTGTACGGGGTATTCACTGTGTCTGTATGAGTGGTCTAGCAGGTGAAACGGGATTTATAGCAGTATTGACAACAGGTTCATCACGCCAGGGTCATTGCATTAGCTTTTTGCATGAATCTTTAGCATCTTTTGCCACTGAATTATTTTCTTGCCCATCTATTGCCCCCTGCATCATCCTGCTGCAGAGAGGTGCTATTGCTATGAAACCGTGTGGATCAATGCGATGAGTAAATAGTGGGTCTGAGAGCGTGAGAGAAGAAGACTCGGCGCACAGACGGAAGGAGTCAAGGTGGGGGGACCGGAGGAGCTGACGACTGCTGCGTAAGAGAGGAGATTTTACTCTGCTGCTGGGAGGGGGGGGGGGCTCTCACCTGGAGACAACAGAGAGGAGGCTGCATGAAAACATCTCATCTGCTCTCCTGCCTGCATGGTGACGGCAGACAAAAGCCGCTACACAGACAATGTTTCTCAGCTTTTTTATGTGGGAGTATGAAAGAGGATCACATGCAAGGCATGGCTCAATCACTCTGTCTGAGCTGGGAGTCAGTGTGATGAGCGTAACAGCGAGCGTCCTGTCCCCTCTCACTCTCTGATGCCATCCCTCCATAGAGGGGACAGTCCTGGGCCAGGGGACCGACTCACCGAGCTCACCTTTGTTATCCATAGTGTCACATAGGCCGTATGTTAGTTGGTGTCAATATTCTAATAATAGGCTGATGCTGGAAAATGTAGTGATGCTTTTGGCTGCTGCGCTGTGTGTGTGTGTGTGTGTGTGTGTGTGTGTGTCACTATGTGCAGAGCGTGCTGTGTGCAGGTCATATGAGGAAAGGAAAGACACCGTCTTTCAGAGCATCCCGTTGTATCTGGGTTTGTTGACAGCAACGGTGTGTATTTTTTGTGGCGTTTGGAAATCAGATAATGCTAGCTTTGTCTTCCAAATGCTGCTGTGATCACAGGAGGTACTTGTGCTTCAGATGTGATGTCATTATAGTGTTGACACGGTGTTGCTATGATGGGGTTGTTGCCACTGAGCGATGCTGCACAGTGTAGCTCAGGCTGTAGCAGCGGCTGTGTTGCTGATCGGGAATCTCTGCGCGTGGCGGGGGCTATGGCGCTCTGATGCTGCAGGCGCTGCTCACTCAATGTGGGTCAGGAGAAGCAGCACTCTGTCTTCTCCCCGTTCCCCATCCTCTCTCCCTCTTTATCGTTCCTAATCTTCTTTCTTCTCTCCCCCCCCCCCCCTCTTACTCCCTTTCCTTCCTTCTACACAGTTCTGTCATCTCACGTTGCCTTCCTCCCTCTCCTCCCCCTCACTCTCCTCTTTCCGTTTCTGTTTCTCTCCAGCTCTGCCGCTCTCCCCCTTTGTTACATCTGGTGGATCCACCAGGCTGTGTGTGGTTAGATGAATTACACAGAGCTTTTTGCTGCTTTTGGATGCAGTGACCTTGTCAAAGCCAGCATTAGAGGTAGCTGCATCTAACTGACCAAGGTTGCCTTGTGTATGTTTTTTTTTTTTTCCCACTCTGTCTTTATGTAATATGTCTGTGGCTGCCTGCTGTAGTGAACCTCCTCTGTAATATGAAAATACAATTTAGCACTGTCAAATAGCCTAGCACCTCTGAATGTAGGAGTAGAACAATGAATGAATGGATGGATGTGTGAGTTTGTGTCAAACACCGTATCTCTGTGGGGCCTCTGGCTAATGAACAACTCAGAGTCGTGTGCATTGACCCACAGATAAACCTGCAGGAAAGAACAGTCCAGCTAAAAACAACAACCTTGAAAGCATGAGCTAATGGCAAGCGAAATGCTGCATGTAATTGTTGTTGAATTGCTGTATGCACTGCACATTGTGTTTTCTTGTGTGTGCATGTTCAAGCTACGTGAGCATGCCTACATATGAATCTACAGTTGAGTCTACTAGACTTTTGGTAATGGCTAGCTGCTGTTGTGGCTTGTTGACACAGTTAGTTAGTTACCTTTCACTAACCCACCATCTGTACGTCATGAGTTCCACTAACCTTCACATCTCTTGCTCAGAATAAAGAGCCTTTGTCAGTACTTATTACTCACCCTCCCGTCTGTCTCTCACTAAACGAAACTCAAAGACCTTCTCATTCATTGTTTGTCGTCCACTTTGTATTCCCTTGAACTTTGAAACAACACTCAAACGGGCTAAAGCGGAAAGCCATTGTTAGAACATTTTTGAAGTACCCATTTACGCTTCTTGCAGAATGTTCCACAATCAAATTTCAAGCCATATTGTTTTCACTTCATTTTTCTGATGAGCCCAGTGACCCCGAGTTCCTGTCTGGAGGTGGATGTTATATTTACAGTAGCCCCACTGACTCGACACAAGACAAGGGAGTGTTAAAAACAAAGACAAAAACATAAGCTCCTTTGAGGCTGTTACTCTGTTCCGTTATCCACTCTGCTCTGCTTTCTTACCCTAGAGCCTGGAGCAAAGTAACAGCCAACAGCAACGTTTATACACATGAGCGTGTACACACACACCCCAGACACACTAAGAGCAGCAGTTCAGGAAACTCCTGCTAGGTTATGGAAACATGAAAGAGCCTTTTTCCATGTTATGTAAATGATGACACACAACATCGTCCTGTACTTTCCATGTAAACCATTTATCGTTACTCATGGAAATGCTGGTTGAGTTTTCACAGATTAGTCCATTGTAGATCCTCGAGGGGCATCTTCAGAGGTTCTTCGTATGTACACAGAATGGCCAACATGTTGTGTTCAGGAGCATCAGACTAACACAAATCAGATGCAGTCATTTTACAAGGTACCACCTTGAGGTAAAACAAAGAACAACACCTCCACAAACATGAAAGTGGTGACATTTCTAAGAGTGAAGCATTTCTTAGGAACAGTTTGTGAATATGGTTCAGTTTTATCTATACAGCCAAAAAATCAGAAGCTGGCCTGAAGGACTTAACAATCTAAACGGCATAAGATTTGGACTCAGTTAAATTTTCTGTTGCCTGCTTATCTGATTTGAGCTTTTCTCTGCCATCAGATTCCTGCCAACATTGTGGAAGAGGTGGATCGGTCAGAGATGATTCCTCATGAAGTCTATGGAGCTCATTTTGTGAGCTGGAGTGACTCCATCTTCTCTGGCCTGAGACCTGGAGCCATCTACCAGTGAACACAAAGAGAGCCAGAGCCACACAGCACACAGAGAGGCAGTCGGCTTCACACAACCACTGAGTGGAGGAGGGAGACGAAGAAACACCCAGAACAACTTCAAATTAACAACTGGGAGTTTTAAAAGCACACTGGCACAATGAAATCCAACCAGGAGCGAAGTAATGGATGTCTGCCTCCTAAGAAGCGTGAGATGCTGTCTCTGGAGCACAGGCCAGTGGTAGTAGCCACAGCGACACCTCCAGCTGCAGTGGTTCCCGATCCACACACAGAGAACCTAGCATGGCTGGCAAGTGTAGCCAGTGAACGCTGCAAATCCAGAGACGCAGAGAGCCCGAGATGTCCCATCTCCTCCACTTCCTCCTCTTCTCTCTCCACCTCTATCCACTCCTCGGCCACTCCTCTGTCGGCGGTGCCCCTGGCCTCTCTGCCTGCAGTTTACCCCACGGCCCTTCCCCAGCAGGCCGGCACTATCCAGTTTGCTCAGCTGGGACCCAACGTTCAGTTCATCAGCTCTGGGCCCTATGCTGGCTACATCTCCTCTCACATCATCTCCGCCAATGCTGGCTCTGCACATAACAGCTCGACCATAGCACAGCGTCCCCAGCTGGATGGTTACACCACTGCCCTCATCTCCCCCAACACCAAAGGGGAGCAGCAGTTTCACATAGGCCTCTCTCCCACAGAACTGACTCCTGTGTCGCTTCCTAGCTCCCCCCAAGTTACCAGCCAGTACATTCACCTGGACAGCAGAAACGCCCTCACTTCACCCACGGCCCACCTCCAGCTCCACCCTCACACAGCTGTCCTCCCTCAAACGCTAACCCTGGCTCCCTCCCAGCTGTTGGTACAGTATGCAGATGGTTCATTTGGGAAGAGACCAGAGGGGCATGCTAAGGGTCTGCTGAATGGGGAATTAGAGTTGGTCAAACAGATTAAAAATCCCAGTCATCAAATGAACCATCAGCAGGTCCAGAGCTATGAGGCCAGACATATCCTCCTGCCTGCCGACTACGGCCAAAACCCTTCAGGACTTCAGACCTCCTTGGTGCTGTTGGCCCAGCCCAACCATGGAGCCGAACGTGAAACTGGCTCAAATAAGATCTCCTTCGTCCAGACTGAGAAAGGAGGCATCTGTTTGGGGAAACCAGTGTCGAGATCATCCTCCTTCACCTCCCTCTCTTCCTCAGATATGGTTAAGTCTGTTGCTCCTCATACAGTCATCCATACCACTCTACCCCACGAGGAGCTGCCAGCCAGTCTCTATTCCTCCACACAGTCACCCATAATTGGCTATATCACCAGTGCAAATCAGCATGCTGTCAGCTACCATGCGGCACTGCCTCAGCACCTGGTCATCCCCAGTGGCCAGTCCCTCCTCATTCCAGTCAGTGGCACCAATAACGGCACAGAAATCGAGGTTAGTCGTACTGTCTGTAATGCCCTGACTGCTACGACTACTCAAATATCCACCGCCATGCCCCACGCCTATCTGGCGACAGCCCTGTCCAAGTGTGAGGCGCTTGGGCCAGATGGACATCAACCACCCCGTGCTGTCTCTCAGGCACCGGCGATGCCAGTCCTGCCCCCGAACCCAGCTCCTGCAGTGGTGGCAGCTCCCTCCCCAACTCCTGCTCCCAGTCCCGCCCCTGTTTCCATCCAAGCCTCCCACTCCATCTCCTCTCCCTCTTCCCCTGTGGAGCTTCCGCCGTTCTTCATGCGAGGATCCATCATCCAGCTGGCCGATGGGGAGCTGAAGCGCGTGGAGGACCTGAAGACGGAGGACTTCATTCAGAGTGCTGAGATTAGTAGTGAGCTGAAAATTGATTCCAGCACGGTTGAGCGTATTGACAATGGACAGAGTCCTAATGCTGTGGTCATACAGTTTTCTGTGGGAGAGCTCAAAGCCCAGGTAAGTTACTCCACATTCATCATGCTTGTGTGCTACAGCTTTGGAGCAGTCTTGTAAAAAAAGTCTATAAAAAAGCCACTGTGGCAGATAGCAACACACACATAAATAAATAGTCACCAGAGTTCTGTATTTTATCTAAATGTAATGGTTGTGATGAGAAAATGTAAAAAGGGATCCACTGTGATGAGCACAATTGAGCTCCCCTTGTGCTCACTATGGTCATCAATTAAGCCCTCAGCTGCAAAATAAAAATCCATGAAATTCATCTCTGCAGAACTGAGAACAATCCTCATAATTATTTTCACATCATTATGTTGCAAGCTACCGGTTGTTACCCAGCAGTACCAACACTGCTCCCTCTTGTGTACCAGATGCCAAAATATATATATATTTCATTGTGCAGACCTCGGCTTTTGAAAGGCAAAAAGCCATTACTTTATCAGACAGAAATGTTAATGTCTGTAAATGGTTGCAACAGTCTGACTTTTTCCATCCCGATATAGATGTGATACCTGGGCTTTGGGTATCGGCTGATACCGAGTACTGATCCCATACCAGTTTAATTAATGTGCTGTATGCCTCACTGGGTGACTGGGATCGCTATTGTATGTGCAAGGCACCATCAGGCCTGACTTAAACATTGTTTCATAACTTTGTGAAACAAAATATAAAAAATAGAATCATCGATCTACATTTTATGAATTCTTCTTCTTCTTTCAGGGTCAGATTTCATGACCCGCATATTTGATTTGGCATTGGTTTTGAGCCCCTATTCACAGCGAGGAAACATTGCTTACCACAGCACCAGCGTGCCCTATACAACAGGAATTCCAGCACAAATGTAAACGTCTCTAACTGCAGCAACAAATTGGTCAAAAACAAGACCGTATTCAAATACAATTCCAGCATATAATCTAGTTGTTTGAGCCAGTATCGGCCTAATATCCGGTGCAAATGTGTAAAGAGTAAAGACTGCAGAGCTCGACTGATACTGGATTCTTAAGGCTGATATCAATATTGATATTTTAGAGTTAAATGGAAAAAACATGTTTTAACATGAATACATAATCCAAACAAACATTTTTGATAAGGATCTGTTTCATTTGGTTATTAAAGACTTTTATTAAAGACAATTCCAGTCTTGTAGACAACATGTGGTTGGCATTTCTGTACAGCAAAAAAGCCTAAAACCGGCTAAATATGAAAATGTTTAGTCGCACTTGACAGATTTTTGGCCCATGTGCCACCGAAATGGTCACAACCATGCAACAGAATGATTTCCAAGATGCATAGTCCCATACAAATGTGCACATGGGGGCATTCAACAGATGTGTTTCTTTTATAAATCCTCCACAAATATTTCAGTCTGTATCCAGCTAAAAGCTAACAGTGTCTGTTGTGCATGTGCTCATCTCCAGGTGTGTGTGGAGGTGCTGGTGGAGTATCCCTTCTTTGTATTTGGCCAGGGCTGGTCATCCTGCTGCCCAGACAGGACCACCCAGCTGTTTGAGCTGTCCTGTGCTAAGCTGTGTGTGGGTGATGTATGCGTGTCGCTGACCCTCCGCGGCTTGAGGACCACTTCAGTAACAGACAGCCAGGCTTTGGGCACCAAGCTGAAGACGGCTCACTTCTCTGATTCTTGTCACAATGTGGATGCCCCCGTAAAAAATAGTGCCACTCCAAATGCTGCAGGCAGAAATAGTGGCCTCCTCATGAAGGCTTCCAGCACAGACCGGCTGGAGAGGGAGCAGGTTACTGGACCAATACAAGGACTCGAGCTACCGCCAGGATTGGGACTAGTTCCAGGACCAGGGGAGGAGATCTATGGAGCCGGACCAATGCTGGCAGTCTCTGGGACTGTAGAAGTGAGACGGGAATCAGTGAAAACTGACATGCCTGCTCTTACCAAAATACAATGCAGTGATCCAGAGAGACCCACGGTCCGCAAGAGACGCTGGTCAGCTCCAGAGCGTGACCAGACTGAACGAGCTGAGGAGGAGCCTCCTCTGACTCTGCCCAAACCGTCCTTCATCCCTCAGGAGGTTAAAATCAGCATAGAGGGCCACTCCAGTATTGGGCGTGAAAGATGCTTGAATAAGAGAATAGACTGTTGAGAGAACTTCAAGGAATTTTGATGACCCATGGTTTGCGTTGTGTTTATTCCCTCTCTACTACTGTAATATAGGCTGAGTTTACACAGTATTTACATGTTTTCTTTTCCTTCACACAAGTCTGATATCTACAATGAAGGTCAGTATAGCACCTTCATGAGTGGTATCAAACCCGAGATCAGTGCAATCATTGCTTAAAGCAAAAATGAATGCAGCGTGAATGTTGAGCATGAATGGAAGTCCGACACCTGAGAGACTTTTGACTTGCGTGTCACACATCATAAGCTGATTCTCCTTTGTCACGTGGCAGACCAGTCGACCATTCCTCTTATCACATGAACAAGCACAGACGCCGATGTCAGCGTGTACAAAGCGGGTGACCATATTTTTATTATCAACCTGTTTGTTTCTCTGTTTATTTGGTTTGTAGTGATGTTTGTAAGTGGTTGAAGTCAAAGAGAGACCGTGTTTCAGTGACAATGCTCGATCATCATGGCTGTGGTCTTTGCTGCCTTGTGTTTCTGATGAGGTTTTATTTAATTACAGTTTTTTTCATTTTCATACCATTGCAGATGTGTGCGCTGCCGCAGGTGGCTTTGAGCCACTTTTCTCCAAGTGTATGTGCCTGTGTGTGTGTGCGTGTGTGCGTGTTTATGTTGGTCTGTTTGTGTTTTTCTGTGTGGCCGTCAGATGAAGCACAGAATTAAGGCGTGTTTAAGTGGCCGTAGCTGTGAGCTCAGTCGTCAATACGACCTGCAAATATCAAGACTGAAAAGGCCTGAATGTAAGTCATTGAATTAGTCCTCAATCAATATGTCATTTGATACCGTTGCTTTACAATGTGTGGGTGACAGCAGTTGCACATGGGTGCATTTCTCTGATGAAGTTCATCAGTCAAATCTATCTTCATAGTTTAGAAGTCTCATACTTTCAAAGACAGCATGTGTTCCTTGTTAATGTCCATTTTTAACCCTGCTATGTGCAGCAATTTCAAATCTGTACAAATACAAATAAACAGTATTTCTATGTAATACTACAAATGAGATTGTAGCCAATTTAAGTATGGACTTGTACTGCAATATAAACTCTCGTTGGCCAACTTGCCTGACTGCATTCATTTATTTATTTTGGCCACTTGAGGGCAGCAAACTAAACACAACACTGACATATTATTACCTTCTAGATTTGATACGGCAAACTTAGAAAACGATTGACCAATTATACATCCAGCTACACAGATCATCATTCATTTGGAGTCATCTGTCAGGCGGTCTGATGAATATTAGTCCAGTTCACCCTACTTGTTGCTCTGTTTTGGTCTCAACCAGCTCCTGGGGGAAATCTCTGGCCCTTGAGTTGCTAAATTCTCCATCCTGGTCACCAGCTAGTTTCTAACTTTGTTTGTTTGGCGTTTGGTGCTGTGCAGGAAGTGTAGAATGGATTTATCAGAGCTTTTCACTGAAAACAACTACCTCCTGCGCCTCAAATCCACCCTGGTGAGTGAATGTTGCAAAACCAAAACATTGAGCTGAAGGAGGCTAAATAAGTTTGTAGAGCTGAGAGGAACGACACAGTCTGATCACAAGTCTCCCTTTACGTTACACTTCACCATCATACCAATTGTTAATAGAAACATTTTGATGAAAGCAACTTTAAATACACACTATAAAACTAAAATAAATATGGCAATACATTTACATATTGATGGGAAAATGGTATTTTCCCTTTCTATTGTCCTATCCAATTGCTTTCTTTAAATAAACTATGGCCTATATATATATAGATATATATATATATATACACACACACACACACACACACACACACACACACACACACACACACACACACACACACACACACCGAGTTCGCAGCACCACATGTTTAGGATTTTACCATTGAAACCTATTTTCCTCAATGATGGCATGCCTTTCTTAATATCCTACAGTTCATACTCAGGAACAGTGTGTACCTGTAAGCGTGAGTTGCGAGCTTGTATGTTGGTCTGAGACAGTATATGTTTGTCCACAGTCAGTGTGTATGTGTGTGTGTGTGTGTGTCCTGAGCAACAGCACTTTGATTAAGCATCCAGCAGGAGTGTGGTGTGTCCCTGTCCGCTGTTAGATATAAAGAAAATAATCGACTGACTGTTTTTCATCCGTCCCACAGGTTTATCACTAAGAGAAAACATTATATACCAGGGCAGGGAATGTAAACACACATCGGGCAAACTATCTCAACTTTATTTTTGATGACTGTAGAGCTATACAGAGAAAGAAAGAGAGTGGTAGAGCCAGTGAGAGTTGATCATGTACAGTACATTGTATCCTGGAGAGTGTACAGTGTGTGTGTGTGTGTGTGTGTGTATAGATATTCTAACAGTTATGTAGCCTATGTACTGTATGTGCCACAGCGCCTCCTTCTTCAATCATTCCATTAACTCACCATTATCAAGTGGTCCTGCTATCGTTTCGGTCAGTTCAGGTATTGATCTAATGTCCATGAATGTGCTACAGTTCTTTGGAAACATCTACATACATTTGGCCTCCTCAGAATAGAATTTGACTTGCACACTGTAACATGTATGTGAACTGCAATTCATAATAATAGCCATTGACCTTTTATGACTCCTGAAAGGTGTTAATTGTAAACCCAGTAACCAGACTGTTCTCTTCTGTTTGTGTTTGACTGCTCAGGCTTAACACTGCCCAGTGACTGTTCTTCACCAAAATGATGTGGTCTTATATTCTTCACTGTTACAAAGTAGAGGTACTGTTTCATCAGTTTGTCTTTGTAGTCATTTCCTCTCTCGTGAGCCTGGCCTGTGTTTGTCATGTTTTTTCAAAAGACATTTTTTTTTTTTTTCAATTACAGACCTGAAATGACACCATGACACAGACAAATCTTTGAAATTTAGAATTGATGCTTAAAGGAATAATTTCACATTTTGCGAAATACACTTCGAACTCTAGCTGAGTGTGCGGTGACTCGGCAAGTAAGCAAATAAGTTCATTACTGATATGTTCCTAAAAGGCCCTGCACACCCTCAAAATGGTTTGCTCATAAATATGCTTAAACTGGGCCACTTAAAATTTGTAAGAACCTTTCTAAATGATGTTGAATATGGTGTATAAGCACCGCCTTGTGGTGATCTATGGAATTGCACTTTCTTATATGGGGTGGGGGTGGGGTTTAGTCTAACTAATACACAGAAGTAATGTACAGCATGTCTGAGAGAAACTGTACTCTGTCAGTACAGCATCTCAGTGATTTGTAAATAGTCAAAGTCTTCCATTATAATGTTGGTATGACCTTGCTGACAGTGGAGAGGAAAAATACTGATCCTGATGTACAGACCTTTGAAGTGAAGTTTAATTTAAAAAATACATCATTTATTTGAAAGAAATACAGGATATAGCGTCACCTAAGATATTTTTTTTCACACCAGCTCAAAAAACAGGAAATTATGGGAGTACAAGACTTTTAAAAAAAGGATTTTGTAAATCGGTCCGTTTGTTGGATAAATCTCAGCCAAGATGCAGTATGTCCTACGTACAGTATGTCGTAAGTATCAATAATGTTCCCTCATTTTGATGGTGTTGAGGTTTGCTAGTCAGAAACTGTTTAATCTTTACTTCAAATGTTTGATTTTACATTTGATCAAATATATTCAAAGAAATAAAAGTCTAAAGAATAACTGCATTATGTCTCTTTTTTGTGAAAATGGTTAAGACACAGAAGGTGTGTTTTGGAAGCACTTGGTATGTAAAGATGTGGTTTATCAGCTGTGTGCTTGTGATAAACCGTCATGCCCGATCAGCGCTAGGTCAGATTACTTTGAAATGTTATTAGAATGTTATTAAATTATATACATGTTTTTGATTACAAAAAAAAAATTATCTTTCGGATTACTTTAAAATCAAACATTAAATATATTGCACCAATATCGACGTAGCCACAACAATTTGAGTTTATTCATGGTCGTACTTGTGTGAGAAAAACAGATCTTTAACCATAACTGACCATGCCTTGGTTGCCCACATCCCAAGGCATCCATCCTGCTCTAATCAACCAGAAGATTACCAGAGGTTACTTCAGCCTGCAGAGTAATGCTGACAGGCAAGCTTGTTAAGTTTGACCTGAACTACTTTATAGATCTTCCACTCTTTCACAGGTCAGGTCAAAGGAAGGGTTTTTGGTTGCTTTTATCGCTACATACAAATAGGACTTTTTAGCAACTACTTGGCCGTACACATATAAACCAAACAGTGTTCTAAAACGGTGCTTCACAATTTAGGGGCCGTAAGAAAGAAGAAAAATACTGTTTTGTTTCTCAATTTCAGATCCCTTTTTGTCTTCTTTTTTATGAAGTACTGGATAGTACTTTGACTGCTTCAGGCCTCTGTTACTTTCAGATTCAGATGAAACAATCTAAGAAATTAAGAGTAGAAAATCACTCTTTGGTTAAAACTGCTTATGTGCACGTGAAGAAGGGTAACAGTGTGTGTTAGTATTTAGGGATTATCAGCTAAATAAAGATTTTTCCTGACAACTGGTCATTGTCAGGTCACTGAGTATCAGAAAACACTGTGACCCTTTACAGGAAGGTTAACAGCTTTGTCATTTGGGTCCCTTGCAGATGTAAAAAGAAAGTGTTCATCCATTATGTGATCAATAAGAGTCTGTTTGCACACCTTGCCTCCAGCTTTCTGCATGCAGAGCCTCACATAAAACACATGGTGGCAGCAGCACTCCACAGACAGAAGTGAGTCAGCTGGGCCAACAGGCTACTGTAATAGCAATATTAATATTGGTTCACATTCTTGTTTTCCTATCTTTAAGAAAATTCTGTCTATATTTAACTTGGCTCTTAGGCTGTAATGTAGTCCTGATTGAATTTTTTTTTTGGCCTTGTTTTTGCTGAGCCTTTTAATAGCCTTTATTTTGCTTGTATTATATTTTCAGAATATATGGTCTCATAATATGATAAACAAATGTATTATCTGAACAACAAAAAATATAAATATTTAAATTGAAATAAACGTTTTTGTTTTGCTACATTCACATTTAAATAAATAAATACACAAGTATTTGTACTTGTTTGAGAGACACATTTTATATTAATAAATAGTCATATTTATAGATAATCACTATATGGTTATTTTATTTGGTTAGTTCCAAATTTACCGGAAGTGACATCTTTCCATATCCGGTTACGGCGATATTTACAATAACGACGTCGAGCGGCTAATGCTAAGTATCGAGAGAGAGATCGGCATTCACTTGGTGTATTACAACCACGTTGCTCACCACAAATGGCATCTCAGATCCCCATAACCGTCAGGGCTCCGCCGGCAGCCGCCAGCTCTCCCGCTGTCCGGGGGAAGAAACGTCCCGCTAGTCCGGCGGTTTGTGCCGCTCAGCAGGTCACCGGGAGCTGCAGCAGCAAGAAGAAGAAAGTCCAGCTGACAGCTGTACCAGCCGCACAGGCTCAGGTACTGGACAGTGATGGTGTTGGTTACTCTGTTTCTGTTAGCACGGTGGAGCTCATCACACTGTAATGGAGCCCAATTACTGAATATTACTCTGAATAACGTTATTGATGTCAAAATGTACACAGTGATTCAGATCTAAAGGCAGCCAAACAGCACTAATAAACTATATCACAAGTACACCGTGTACAAGGCTGGAGTATGTCAAACTATCTGTTATTTACAAATGTACTGTGTAGTACAAGTATCGGTCTCATAACAGCTGCATATGTGGACACTTCCACTCAGTTGTATCTCTATGGTTCATGTTACACTGTCCAGCCACCTGTAGACTTTAACATTCACACCGCCTGTAAAACAAGCAGCTTACAGTCTGATGTGCTTCCTGTTTGTCTCGTGTTGTCTTTGTGTTTCATCAGATTACAGCAGTGGAGTTGGTGCCTGAGGTGAAGCCAGTGGGAACAGTTGACTGTGGTCCTGCTGCCATCACAGAGTCCACAGCAAAGCCTCCACCCTTCAAAGACCCCACGTTTATGGTGAATGTCTGCTTCCAGTTGGGTTTTAGTTGTATCTGCTTCTGTGGCTTCTCCCTCAAGTTCTTCCCCCGTTTCTTCCTCTCTGAATCTCGGCAGCATTCTGGGATCGGTGGAGCAGCAGCAGGTAAGAAGAACAGGACCTGGAAGAATCTCAAACAGATCCTGGCTTTGGAGCGGACTTTACCCTGGACGCTCAATGATCCCAACTGTGAGTTTTTATTTTTACTATTTCTACCTAATGCATGTTGTACACTTTATCTCAAAGAAATAGGCTGTATTTTACTTTGTAAAGCACAATTACATTTTTTACTATTTTAAAGCAAAAGTACATTTCACTATCTCAGTGACTTTATTTTAGGAATCTCTAATCAGGAGTTCATTTTAAGACCTTGCTGTGTTCACAGACTACAGCATTGACGCCCCTCCCTCCTTGAAGCCAGCTAAGAAATACTCCGACATCTCTGGACTCCCTGTGAGTTATCACTTTGCTGAAATCCCTTATTGTACAATAAACAAAATGACTTTTAAGTCTTGGACAAAGCTTCCACTGAACACTCTCTTGTCTTTCCTCAGGCAAACTACACAGACCCTCAGACAAAGCTACGCTTCACCTCCTCTGAGGAGTTCTCCTACATCCGCCTCCTCCCCACAGATGTTGTTACTGGCTACCTTGCACTTCGAAAGGAAACGTGCATCGTACCCTGACAGCCGAGCGAGACTTGAAACCTGAAACAGGTTCAAACCACAACTGAACTCGTGTCGGTGTAGGAAGCTGTTGGGCCAGCCAGGAGACTGAGAGCACAGGCTGCATGTGAACATGTGGACAAGGAGTCATAGTCGTTACTGTGTGACAAAATAAATGTCCAGTTGTTTCTCAATTACTCCATCATTACTAGCGATGATGCAGTACGCCCCCTTGTGGTAGAATATCAGTCTCCAGTGGTGAACATTCACTCCGGTGTGGTTAAGGGAAGTCGTAGACAGAAAATGTTTGCATAGCTGTTTGAAGGAGTTTGTACATTTCAGATTGATACTGTTTATAAGGAGCTCATTAAAGCTTTGAATTGTATGTTGAAGTTGATTTCAATGTCTCTTTTTCATCTGTGATTTCTTATATGTGTCTTTGCATAAATACACATTTTCTCAGGAGAAAACAGACACAATTGGTGGCTGAAATTAGTTTCATCTCAATTGTTTTTATACGACAACCTTTAATCACATTAGTTAAACATTGACATAAAACACTCCTCTGTGCCTGAACAGAAACATCAACACCTGCTGCTGGGCTTCACTGTTTCTTGGATCTTCTGTTAAATTCAGTAGCCTGCATGTATGCAAATGTAGCTGGGCCAAGTCTGCCTCTTAACAAGCCAAGAGTTACCAACAGGCCTTATATCTGCACTGCACCACTTGGGGGAGCAAGAGTGCTTCCTCTAAGGTGGAGGCATCAGCCTTGAACTAAGTCATTATTAGATATGACTGACTACACAAGATGTTGGAGAGTGGTGGACAGGAAGACATCGTACAGTTCAGTTTCCTAATATACAGCAAAGGATCAGAATGAATAATCAAACACTTTATTTTGATAAAACGTCCGTCTTGATATAAAAAACAAATATGACTAAAACATGACACATTAAAAGTTAATTCAGGGTGCTGTTGATGCCCTGACTGCTTTGTAATGCCTGCTTGTGCACGATACATCAATAATAGATGGGCAACATTAAACACACTGTTAAATGCCATACGGTATGTGCAGTAATGTGCACAGTCTCAGACTGTCTACAGTGCATTTTTTTTAATCTTTCCAGCTAGTTTTTGAAGTCTTATCAACTGTCATGTTAGAAAAAAATCCCAAATAACAGACAAGCAAACCTTGAAGTAGCAGGCCAGGACTTCGGCTGTTAAGAAATGGTTTGTTGTTTCCAAAATAAAATTCTGAAGTAATTCTATTGAGATGAAAATAAGTTAGTTTTTTGTCCAATCATTTTTCAAAACTAGTTTGGTGGGGCTTTTCTGTAAACCAGTCCTAATTGCTTTTAATTATCAGTTTTGTTGTTAAGCAATACTAATATCTAAAATACCAATTTATTCATAAACAATGAAAACATTAAGCTCTAATAAAATAATGCCAGTGTAAACAAGCTTCAGTATCACGCAACGCTGAAATATTGCACATACATTCATAAATATAGACATCAACTTTGTGCCTTTGTGTTTATACATCTGTGTGTGTGTGTGTGTGTGTGTAATAAATCTGTACACAGCCTAGTTTGTAGAAACCTATTGTAGGTTAAATTAAATCAGGTGGGGAAATAATTTTATAACTGAATAAAAGGATAAAACGAGAAGCACGTAATAGACACACACATATGAACAGTACCTACACACACACACACACACACACACACACACACACACACACACACACTTACTCACAAAAGCACTTGTGCATAGATCTCAAGTATCTTTGTGCCCACTTACACAGACACACAGAAATGTTCCAAGACATTTGAAGCATTGTCTTCAAAACAAGACTTTGTTTTCTGTCTTCAATTTTGATGCTTCATCACAATGGACAAACAATAGACATGTGTGTGTGTGAGATTGAGCCTGTTAAGTGTGTTTTAGTCCCACTTAGGCTGGTTTGAACCTCGTTCTTTAGTCCCAGTCTGTGCGGCGCTGAAGTCTTCAGTCTGTCAGTTTCATTACCATAGCGGTAGAAGACCTCCAGCAAAGGAATGTAGGGTCCGACTAATACAGATCTCAGATCTGATTTAAGTTACTCAGAAGGGGCACTTCCCTCTCAAACCACCGTCCTCCAATCTGGAGCTGTCGCTATCATCTTAGGCGTCCCCTGTTTTATCAGTCGTCAGCTGCTCCTGGTCGGAGACGTCATCGTCAGCTGGTGGCCGCGCCCGGTCAAAGAAACCACACTGAGGGAATAACATTAGCCCATTAGTGTAATATTGGGTAAACAAATTAGCTCAAGGAATGCTGGATGATGTGCACGTACCTTCCACATAGCTAATGTTAACATGGCCAGCACCAGCAGCCCCAGCAGTATGGCCAGGATGATGACCCAGAGTGGAACAGCAAACGACACATCAGGAGTGCCCCATAACACCAGGGTCCCCATCTACAGGACACAGAGAGATACAGTTAGGTGTTTGTAAGTGCTGACACGTGTCCTTTTTTTCTTCTTCTCTGCGCCTGCATCTTACCGAGGTGGTGTGCTGAGGCAGAGTGGAGGGTCGGATGCGGTAAGGCAGAGCTGTGACTATGATGGACACAGTAGAGTTGAGGATGTAGGGGTCGTTACGCCGCTGTAAGACAAATATAACATTATTATTTGAAGGTGCAATTTGAGTGATCACATATTTGAAATAGTATGTTGCTTTGCAAGACATTTAATGGAGTTTAGGTTAAACTTGGAATATTAGCTTTTAATGTACTCAATACAATGATCATTTGAACAAATCTACAATTTCATGACTCCGCCTGCTGATGAAGATCATGTGATGTAATCAAACGCTCCAGAACTGCTACTAAATGGACCTCATTGTGAAATTGCCTCCTCAACGGCTGTTTTAAAGGTAAAGCACCAAACAAATAGTCAACACAAATGTTCAAGACGACAGTTGAAGACACTGACCTGCAGGAAAGTGTGCGCCCAGAGTCTCGAGCGGATCTTCACCACCGCGCTCTGACCACGATCCAACCGGCCAACGATACATATGATGTTCAGACAAGAGATATTGGTGCAATTCTGCATGGAAAAAAAACGGAGAGCAGAGAAAGCAAAGCCACATTAAACACTTGGGAATTACGAATGAACATTTTCTTTCGTTTCTTGAGAGAATGTACATGTATGTGAGGCTCACCAAGGTTTTACCGCTATAACTTTCAGCGGCAGAGGCGGATCGTTTGTGGCGATGAGGAGGAGCGCTGGTGTTCCTCAAGAATCCCAATAATTCAGGTGTGTCCTGGAGAGAGGAAATCTGAGAAAGAAAACGAGAGAGTTGTCAACATTGACTATTTTATCTTTTTGGATTTCAGCAACTCAGCTGGTGATCGTTTTTGCCAATGGGACATGATGAAGCAAAAAACAAAAGGAAAATAAATGCTTAATTGCTTCCCTGCTCACAAGTCCTCTCTATTATTTATTTTTAGAAAACCTTCTACAGCATACGTTTGGGCCTTTTAAAGGACATTTATTAGTTAGAATACACAGATTATCACATATTGGTGGTTTAGTGCGGTCTGTGTTGCACATGGGCTCTGATGCAGGCTAGACAGCCGATGACCTGAAGACAAAGAATGCATGTAAAATAAGATTTGAAAGATGTTTTAAGAGAGATAATAACCACAGCATCACCAGCTGTAGAAACATGTGTGACATTTAGCGATCTGATCAAAAGGTGTTTTGTTAAAAGAAGGACTGAAGAGATGTTTTTCCTGATTGCAGCTCATACAGTGAAGCTGACAGCAACAGAAGACATGAGTTTAGATATTTTAATTGTTTCTCCACAGGGAGTCTGGCTTCGGACAGCAGCCTGTGAAAGAAAAAATATTTCAAAAGTCCAACAAGATGTGTAGTACATAACAATAGACTGTTACTTGGTTATTCCTCTACTAATTGTGGAAGAGCAGTAGTGATCTTGCGATATACTGGCATGAACAATATCTGTGATATTTAAAAAATGAAATATACTATACTATGACTTTATAGTATACTATGACCTTTTTTTGACATACAATAATAAGACTTTTTGACCTACTATAATAGGACTTTTCTGACTTATTTGACATATTGTACTATGAATTGTTCTTATAAAATACTGTCGTTTTTTTTAATGACATACTTTGACTGTGACATACTCTCCTATGACTTTATAAATTACCATACTATATATTTTTATGACTTACTATTATGTTTATTTTACATACTATACTGTGACTTTTCTAGGATGTACTATATTATGACTTAGTGTACTTTTTTACAACTTTCTATACTTTACTCTTTTTATGACTTACTATACGATGTATTGTTTGACTCACTATATTCTATGACTTTTCATCACTTTTTTGACATACTATGACTTACTATGACTTTTTAGGATTTACTATACAACATACCATATTATCACTTGAAATGACACAACATAATATACATTTTTTTGACTTTTCACAACATATTATGCTATGACTTTTTAATGACATAGTATAATATAACTTTTATCACATAATACACCATATGTTTTTTCTCAGCAATCATCAAAATAGTTATCAATACATTTTCCGATAGCTGACTGACTTTTGAAGAGGCATCTGTTCAGTGGAAAGGAGTCTGGAGAAGAGAGCATGAAGCTCCATGCACGTACACTTTTGAAATAACACTCCTCACTGTCAGTGTGAATCAATCAGTCTAGTCTTCACAGGGATAGACAGTGATTGGAAGATGATGGCAAATTGAAAAGGACCAAATCAGGAAGAAAACAGGAGAAGAAAAAAAAGAATCTGACCTTTAACCACACTCTGTGAATACGGCTCATTTTGTTTTCATATATGATTGCAGCTTGTAGCGCTTCACTTTCTGACATAATTACATACTTTTTGAAATTGAACTGCATGTTTTCTTTTTGAATTACTCTACAGATGATATCATAGATATTCATCTCTAATTTCTGCTAATAGGCATAATACTCCACCCCCGCATCGCCTTGAGCCAACTGGCAAAGACCATGGAGAGCAGCCAAACTACAGGTACAATTATGTTTTAAATAAGCAGCTATGAATCATGGAGAAATGGATGGATGAATAAGCCGCTAGCAATATGACAAATAAAAGTTTGAAATTGCATTTTGGCCGGTGGTTGGATAGAATTCAAGAGTGGTTAGAAATACCATGACACATATTTACTTCCACTGCAGGCAATATGTTCATAATTATATATTTGTGTATTGAAATGAGTTTTCGAAAATGTGTCTGCATGCATAAGCGTGTATATGTTCATAATATATTGGTATTTTATTACCTGAAGGCCAAGTGGGTTGAGGCTGGTGTTCGTCCGGCAGCTAA